CTGCCGCTGGCCCAAGGACCACACCTGACAAGAAGGTGCTGTTTAGACGATGAGGTCTGTGAGACCAAGGACACTGTCTTGTTTCCCATTTTATCCCCAGTCTTGGCATGATGCCTGGCACAAAGTGAGTGCTCAATAAATATTTGCTGAATTGAATTAATGGGGGACACTGGCTACAAGGACAAATATTATAGCTTTTCTGTTAGACTAAGCTCATAGCCAAAAACCAAATGGATAAAATACCAACAGTAATTAAACATGTGTTTAACCAGTACTTTGGAGTTTCCCAAGCACTTTAATTAATGAGAGCTTATTTGATTTTACTCTTAACAATAATCGTCTGAAGAGGAGCTGTCATTATTATTTTTCTGTTATGGATGATAAAAATGAAGTCACAGAGGGCAAGTCACTGGCCTAAAGAAGGCTAGAAGCAGGTACGCTGCAATATGGGTCTTCTGACTGCCAGTTTTCCCTGCTGTACTTTGCAGAAATAGTAAAAACTTGACCAAAAGCAGATTATTTAACTTTTAGTATCATATACTGAGAGGCTGCTGATGTCCCTATTCCTTGTTAATTGCTACACACTTGGTATAGAAAAGCTAATATATCTAAAATGTAAGTGTATGTGGGTGTGATATGATGAGATTTGTCAAGAAAGAACTCACAAACTGTCTTTGGGCTGCTTGACCAAACTATCTGTGCCTGAAGGCTCTTTTCTCTCCCTTCAGAAGGGGTTGCATCTGCTTACCTTTCATTAGGACCAGAGATTTCCTTCCCCAGGGCAATGTCCTGCACATCCCATGGTCTGCAGGGGCAGGGCAGCTGGCAGCCAGATCCAGACTGCCTGGGTACAAAGTGATCCTGTCAGATCACCACTTCCCCCATGGTTGCTTTCAGGCTTGCCCTAAAAGAAGGGAGGACAACAGGGGGATCGGGATTCTTCACCCACACTCAGACCTTCAGTGTGTCTAGCATAGCACACAGGCCCTGGTATGCCTTAGGACATGGGATGCACTCATATCTTGTTTCCTCTTGCTAATCCTTGATTTAGAAATGTTCCTAATAAAGTCTATTCCAAGACCCATGCCTTTCAATGCTGTAGAATGCATCTGAGCTATTGTTATGGTAGGTGGCAGTCTTTTTTTTTTTTTTTAAAGATTTATTTATTTATTTATTTGAGACAGAGAGAATGAAAGAGACAGAGAGCACATGAGAGGGGGGAGGGTCAGAGGGAGAAGCAGGCTCCCTGCCGAGCAGGGAGCCCGATGCGGGACTCGATCCCAGGACTGCAGGATCATGACCTGAGCCGAAGGCAGTCGCTTAACCAACTGAGCTACCCAGGCGCCCCGGTAGGTGGCAGTCTTAAAGGGACCTCCCTTAACCCACCTTGCATGATGGAGGAGGTTCAACTGTTGCTTTACAAGCTGAAGCTCAGCTTTCTCTTCTCTTTGCCACATACATTTATTTATTTATTTATTTATTTATTTATTTATTTATTTATTTATTTATTTATATTTGAGAGAGAGAGCCCACTTACATGAGTAGGGGGAATAGCAAAGGAAAAGAGAGAATCTCAAGCGGACTCTGTGCTGAGTGCAGAGCCTCATGCGGGGCTTGATATCATGACCCTGACATCATGACCTGAGCAGAAACCAAGAGTTGGACGCTTACCCAACTGAGCCAGCCAGTTGCCCCACCATAAACTTTTCATCTATGGCCTCTTTTGCAAAGCAGACCACAGTGCCAGGTACACAATAGATAAAATAATAGGAAGGTACTAAGTCAACATTTTATTTTTTGTAATCCTGCCCTGACCTCTCTCCTAAGCATCTGTGTGAGCATATTGCAGCCCAGGCTCTGCAGGCCCATAGAGGAACCTCACTGAAGTTTCCCACAGGGGAGCCTGGAGGTGGTGTGCAGGCTTCCATGACTCTTGGGGGAGACAGAGATCAGGAGAGAGAGCTCACAGTCCTGTAAAAATTGTTCTTTGTGTATCAAGAAAGAAATTCTAACAAAAAATGGGGGAAGTCCTGAGGGACAGTATGGCAGCATTTGTGATCTGCAGTGTATGAATTCATCCTAAAGACACCTGAGCAAGAACTGTTTTTACATATATATTATCACTTGGGGGGTAGGTTTTGTACTTAAGTTTATAATCTACCCTGGACAATAGAGAATAATTCATTAGGGAGACAGCATGATTACAAGTCAGGGCTTAAGGCCCTGGGTTCAAGATCTAGCTGTGCCACTTACTACTACTTCTTTTTTGTACCTCTTGACCACCTTTACCCTACCACCTGCTCTGGCAACCACAATATGTATCTGTGAGTTCAGGCTTTTTTTTAGATTCCACATATAAGTGAGATCATAAGGTATTTGCCTTTCTGTCTGACTTATTTCACTTAGCATAATGCCCTCAGGTTCCATCCATGTTGTCACAAATGTCAGAATTTCCTTCTTTTTTTGGCTGAATAATATTCCATTGTGTGTGTGTGTGTGTAAAATATATGAATAAAGAAAACATGGCATATATATATATATTTTCATCATTCGATGGATACTTGTTTTCATGTCTTGGCTATTTTATTTATTTTTATTTTTATTTTTTCTATGTCTTGGCTATTTTAAGTAATGCTCTAGTGAACCTGGGTTTGCGGATATCTTTTTGAGTTAGTGCTTTCATTTCCTTTGAATAAATACCCAGAAATGGAATTGCTGGATCATAGAGTAGTTCTATTTTTAATTTTTTGAGGATCCTCCACACCGTTTTCCAGAGTGGCTGCCCCAGTTTGCATTCCCACCCACGGTGCACCTGGGTTCCCTTTTCTCCACATCTTCACCAACATTTTGCTGTGTGAGGTGATATTTTGTTTTCTTGAGACCTGTGGCAATATATTTGATTCTCTAAGCCTGTTTGTCTAGAAAAAGAAGGAAGCAATTTCACTTTGTATGTTGTTGAGGAGATGAACTAATGCAAATAAAGGCTAGCATGGTCCTGACACATAGCATCAGCACTCACTAAATGTTCACTCTTGAAATGGAAACCATACTAGAATCTCTGTCATTCTAGGACTTGATGTTATACTTGATTCTGCTTTTCTGCCATTTTGTTTCCAGATTAGAGCAGTTACTTCAAGCTCCCTGAAGAGTTAGAAGCATTGCTTTGATAGAGTATGTCACCGTGGCTCAAAGTTTCCTAGGTATGGCTATGGACCTAGCTGACACTTTTTTTTTCCTGTCCCCTTTTCCTTCTATTTCTCATGCCTGATCCCCACACTTTACCAACTTTGGTCTGCTCCTGATATTTCTTCAGGTTTGGATCTGGCCCCATCTGTTTACAGATCAAGCTAATTTAGGGCCATGGAGTTTGATTGCTGGGTTTTGTTTCCCTACTGCTTTCTATAAGTAAGCCTAGCCTGTTCATGTGAGCTTCTCAGATGAAGCTTGTGCCTCTTGATGGGTCTTTAAGATGTTGGGTAATATCCTAGATATCAAAATGTCTGTATCCCTGCGATACACTTCTGCCAGAGGCTTGAATGTGAAAAAATCAGGTTGCATTTGTCTGAGTTGTGGGTAGACAGTCCCTACTTAATAGCTGACATCTCGGTTTTCTTATGCTGTCCCAGTTCACGCCGTTGTCCTGAAGAAATTATTAACAGCATCCTCTTTTTCTCTCAAAAGTGTCGTGAGCTTTGGAAGATATATTGTAAGGTCATCCTACATTTTGGGATAGGTATGTATTTAAGTTTTGTTTCAAGTGGAAAAGATGGTGGGTTATCAGGCAAAAACTATTTTTTCAGTTACAATAATAAGAACTGTGATAAGGAAAGTCAAAGAGAAGTCATAATTTTCAAAAATGGTGCTTCAGAGAGTTTTCTTTCTGTGGTACAAACCGGAATGTGTTTATCACAGCAAGCAGTGTTTTGGAAAACTTGTGAGAGGCTTGCTACATAATTTACATTTTAAGTGGTCAACCCTTGTTCGGTGGAATAAGGATGAGCAAGCTAAGAATGCTCAAGGGGAAAACGCATTACACATCACACATTTTTTTATGCTTTTGAAACCTTCTTCTCTTCTTTTTCTCACCTCACTTCCGGTTACTGGGTGGAACGCATCTTTCACAAAGAGGTGTGAATGAGAAGTCTAATAATACCCAGAACTGGAAGGAGCTGGCAGTTTGCTCCTCCTAAAATTGTGCAGCCATGTTAGGGTACAACAGAGAGAGATGCAAGGAGCTGGGAGGGAAAGCTCCCAGCTTTGTTACCATCAGCTGTGTCTACCTGAGCAGAAGAGACATGAGCCTGGTGTAAATGCCACATACTATCAAGCTGCGGCAGTGACACGGGGCCCTGGTGGGGAGCAGGAGACGGGACGCACACGTGGCTGACAAAGGCTGTCCTGAAGTGGAGAGCTGTCTGCACGCTCAGCAGCTGCAGCTGCGGCGCACGCTCACGGCTCCCGGGACGGGCCACTTAGCAGGTTCACACATCCTCACCCTGGAGAGGAATCTGTATTCTGGTCATTCCTCACGATACACATCACGCGTTCATCAACTCCTTCCCTTCTCCATTCTGTCGAAGGGCACAGGGCCGTAATAGTTGCAATGCAAAATGCTGCCACCTGGTACGCAGCTGAGAGAGAAAGTATAGCACAGTCCCCGAGGAGCTAGAAGGGACAAGGAAACAAAAGGCAGCTTAATGTTGCCTTTATCATTGTCTAGCTGTAGATAAACCAGGCTTTATAGGAAGTTACAAAGAAGAAGCTGGATCTTACTCTTTCAATTAAAGCACCATCAGGCCTCAACATTAAATAAAAGAAGTCTGTCAGACATGACACACTTTAATTTACACCTGGTTACTCTGAATGATGGCATGATTTATATTCAGCTCTAGGTCGTCTGTCTTTGACATTCTACCCACTCACATATTTGCATATTCAGAAGCTGTACAAGCACAAAAATATTAAAATGAAATCCACTATACGTTACAGTAGAATGACATGTAATTTATTCATATAACTGACAGTTAGGCAGTACCCAGACTTCATTTAAATAAGCAAGTGATCACACAAATGTCTAATAATACTAAAATTGATAGTCAGAAGGTATAAAATACCATGGGTATGAAATGCCATGGTAAATACTATTCAACAGACTACAATCATAATTCCAAACTAAATCATGGTTTTTAAAATGATTTTTAGCAGTTTTGGAATGAATTGATGTTTTTTCCCTTCCAAGCAATTTACTTTTTTCACTGATACAGGACAAGGTCATTATTTTCAAGAAATATTATAGAAGGACACAGCTTAGGTCCCTCTCTTGCAACACATTTTCTTGCAAATTGTTTTTTGATATAACCTCTTGACATTGAAAACAAACCAGTCAGCACTCAGTTCCCCAAGCAAAGATGCTTGGATCAGAACAGTGCCAGCGTGTAACTCTGAGTTCAGCAAGAGGCAGGCAGTGAAAAACCTTTTGCAGTTTTTGAAGTATGCATACTTCTTTTCTGAGGCTCCAAGCATCATAAACATATTTAGGTATCCAAGCCAGTGAAATTATGGGAATAAAATTATTTGGTATCCATATGACTATGACACAGTTACAGCTGGGGGAAGTTACAGTATAATTCTGCGGTTCTTCAAACAAAAACAGCACCTACCTAAATCTGCTTCTTGTAAGCCTTGTTACATTTTCACGAGGCACGGCTGTGTTTGCAGGAATGGTTTGGCTTATCATGTGTCTGTCTGTATTGTTTGAAAGTCATACACTTTAGTGGAGTGAGATCCAAGCATGAACCTGGCCTGAAGAGCTAGCAGCAGTAGTCATGAAACATATCAGTAAATTAAAAGGCTTTCACAGAACAAGATTCAGCTAAATCTCTTGCATACAAAATACAGCTAGAGAAATACAGTTCTTCAGTGCTGAATTATGAGGGGGAGGAGAACAGTCTAAAAAAATAGAAAACTCTCTCCATACCTGGGTGTCAAGGCAAATGTAACATTGCATAATGCCACAATATGAACGGTCACTGGATGACAGATACTCCAGAAACAGTGGTATCTGGGGATCTGGTAATTATGACCAAGAGGTGAAAATACTGTACCAGAAGGCATGCATACAATCACTGTGCATTCAGTGTGTGAGCTGGGACCTAAGCAGGATCTAACACGACAATGAGGCAGTGTTCTAGGGTATCCGTTAAAACCAGCGTGGGTGACTACATGTTGATTAAACCTTCTGAGGCAGCAAAGTGTGGGCACAACGCCATGTCTGGGTTCTGCAGCTGTCTTATGATCCTCTTGCGGAATTTCTCCCGCACACGATTGAATTCCATTATGTCCATGGGGTCCTCTTCAATCCAAAACTTATGAAACTCATGCATCAAATAGCCTGTTAGAAATAAGACAGTGATAAGAATGCAGGAGAAAAAAAAGTCCTTAATTACATTCAAAATCACTGAATGCTGAAAGAGATGTCAGACCAAATGACAGCAACCACGGAGCTCAAAGAAGAGAACAAAATGCAGCAAATATTACTGTTAAAGATTATTCTTTAAAACTAGTGCAGTAGAAGCTACCAATCTGCAAGACTTTTGCAATTGGTCCTGGAATTATTCTTACTCTTCCCAAGGAGGAAGACAAATCAGTTCTGCCATCTCTTGAATATGAATCACATCTAGAACATAATCCGAAAGGCCGACAGTGACTACTTCATCCTTCCCCTCCTGATTAAATTAAAATAATGGTCTGATTTTTCAAAATTACTCCACTCAGCTTTTTTTCTCTTGATATTTGATTTGAGTAAAGTTTTAAATTACTCTGACAAATCAAAAAAATGGCTTCTGACAGTGAGACAATAAAAATTGTAAATCAACTCTGAAAAACACAGACTGGTCATTAAACTACATGAAATCGTTAATAAGACCTTCTTGCTCTGAAGCATAATGTTGTATTCAAATACTTCTCTGTCTCAAAAGTGTTATCTATGAATGATCTGGATTGGAAACATTTTTGGAATAAATGTTAAGTATTTGAATCTATTCACTGTGTTCTGTCTCCCCACTGTGCACCCTCCCCCAACCACATTCAGAATTGAAATGTGAATAGTTTTTTAAAAAGACAATAATAGATATTTGTATGTAGTGAACCTATTACAAGCTCAAGTGTCTCATATATTAGAAGCAAAGCATTTAAGGAAATAATTCTAGTTTAAAAAATCGAACATTACAGAAGCTTTTCTTGGTTTTAGCATTAGAAGGAGCAGAATATAGGAACAAGGATTCTGAAGCTAGAAACCTGGTTTGAATCCTAGCTCTCCCACCTCCACAGGAAGGAGTGAGCAGCAGAAATGATAAGGGGCATGGGGAGAGAATTTGAGAACAAACATTCTCAATGCTAATAGTAAAAAAAAAAAAGAATACCATTTGTTTTTCTAGTAACTAGCTACTTATGAGAAAACCTTTAACATAGGTCTGTAAACATACATATTTAAAATCTTTACCATATCTCACTGTAATACAAAATTAGAAGTGACCTTCCTTCCCACCCCCAACACACTTCCAGATACTGGTCCACTTCCACAAACACACCTGGGTTTCTCATTCATTACACTGTTAAATATGCTTATACATTTTTAAGTATATGGTCTCTCTACAACTACAGGAAGAAAGGTAGTAAGGAGAGAGAAACTTATTTTACTTTTTTTGGGGGTTTGACCATTGCATTTTTTTAGGATTGAATTATCTTTGGGCCCTCCACACATATTAACTGATGTGACTGTTTTTAATATCTCTTGATGGGGACACACACCAACCCTCACTCACATGCCTCTGGGCCACACTCCAGGGCCCACTGCCACTGTTATGGGCACCTGATAACGTCAGGGAAGCCCCAGATCACAGGTATCAGCAATCCCAGGAGCTGTCCAGTCCATCTCTGCTCTATCTGGTGCTGGGAGTCCCAGAGGCAGCTTCCAGCCTTGAGCTCTTCTTGTGACAACACTGACATTAACCTGTCCCATGGATGAAGAACCTGATTCTTAAGGATTTTTCCTCACACTGGGCCAAAATCTGTTACCCTGTATTTCTTGGAACAAATTCAGTCCTTCTCCAACTCAGGTAACTGAAGTGTCTCTTATGCCCTGAGCTTCTCCGTTTTCCAGGTTAAGCATCCCTTTTGCTCCTCACCATTTTTCACGTGCCATGACTGGGAGTCTGTTTACTATTCTGCTGGATTTAGTGCACACCAAGAGGAAGTGGTTCCCTTTAATCTCAGTACCTTATTCAACCAAAAGAATTCAATCATCTGTCCATTTCAGTGACTGGGCAAACTCCTAAAGTATCCCACGAATGCTATGGGGTACGTTTTTAAAAATGCAGACCTCCCATCCCAGATTCAGCTGCAGTGCAGTAAGATGAATCTCAGGTCACTAAAATTTGAGAACCATTGCTCTAAAAGATGCCCTCTTTTTAAGTTCCCTTGGCTTTTTCCTAAATATTATATTTTTATGGTTTTAAGTGAAATCTATGACTACTTATAATTTCTTCTTGTGCTATATAAAATACATAATTTTCCTGACTTGGCCTCTCAGCTCAAATAAACACATCTGAGCTGTTTTGTATGTAGAGTCAGGCTTCTAATACTAATTCATAATACTATGAATTAAAATCATACATGATGAGTTAAAAGAATCTCATTATTATCTCATGAGTGATAAGGTCTTTACTCTTATTCACAATAATGAACAGGTGCTGTGAAAATTATCTTTTAATGAAGAATTGACTTTTGCATCATATGTATAAAAATACTCTTCTACAGTGTGCTTGTATGCTAGCAACTCACTCGAATGGTGATCTAGTGTGGTGCAGAGTGTTAAAAGAATGCAGATCCATTTGGTTTCCTCATTTTTCTACCTTACATGCAATTACAGAAAAACATTTTGAAAGGTTTAAAAGGTAGGCAAGAAAAAAAAAGGCAAGGATTAAGACTAGGGGTGGGGTGGTTAACAATCTGACACTATTCTCAGGATCCCTCCTCTCAAGGGTACAAAAGTGAAGCTGTAAAGCTTGCAGATTCTCTCTATCCTACCAGGAAGATACAGATTGTATAACATGATTTTAATCAAAATGCAGAAATGGTGGCTTGGCTTCCAGGGTACATTTATAATTATAATACTCCACTCATTTTTATAACATTACAGAGTGTTCATTTATCCACTTGGTCAGTTAACCAGTTGGCTCATCTGCCAGTTAACAAATATGCAGCAGATACAAGAAAAAGGTAGAGTTCCTGTGCTCCCCAATTCTCTTGTCTCTTGGGGAGAGACACCCAAGGAGACAATTTCAGCCAATGATTTAGTAGCTAAGGAAGCTAACAAGATGGCGTGGAAAGTAGAGGGAGGAAACAGAGGCCAGGCTATTGCTTATAGTCTCTTAATTCTTTGTGGAGTGGGTGGTGTAGATGTATCTTCATTTAACAGATGAGAACATGGGGCTTAGAAAAGATACTTGAAGAGCGTACAGTTACACCATATAGCTGGAAGCTGAAAGCGAGAACTCGAAATCAGCTGACTTTTCACCACTGTACCTGCTGCCTTTCTTAGTGTATTCTCTTTCCCTGGTTCTCAATCTTACTGAATAGTCCCTTCTTCTGAAGATCAAAGGAAAGATCATTCTTTTTCCTCTTCTGATCATTATACTTACCTTGTGCTCACTACACCTTACCTTACTTCATTTCAGTGGAACTGTATGTTCCGTGGGGCTTTAGATGGAATGTAATTTTTGTAGCATACTGCCTTGGCAGTGCAGTATTCACTGAGTAATACTATAAAGTCAGAATGATAGAGCCATTAGTTTCTTATATTTTTTCACCTAGATGAAATACCTGTTTAGAATACTAATTTGGCTTTCCATCCCAAGCCTGCAGTGTATTTGTTGTTGCTTGAATGTATCTTGGTTTTGCTTCACTGCATTCAGTTAATAGACAGCAGAGACATAAGCAAGGACACAGGTAATTGCAAGAATATTACAGAGGAAACGTGCAGAACTGATCATGTCTGATAGAGGAACAGTGAATTCGGGGCATGGTTTGCTTCCTCTGGAGAGGCATGAGTCCCTCTGCTTATACCCCAATTATTGGGGGATTGCTGCTCTTTCTAAAACCTGGTGAGGGCCTTGGGAAATAAGTAACCCTGTTGCATGCTACTCACCTGGGCTAGGGTTGTCTTGAAAGCATATCCATTCAGGGGCAAGGCTAAATTAAATTCTCCATGAGGAACTATACTTCCTTTCTTCCACAAAAGACATTATCCAATATTTTAGCTTCCCATCCGTCCATCCATCCATCCAGTCATCCAACAAATATTTAGTGAGTACTTACTCTGTATCAGGCTCTGTGCTGAGGTAGTGAATACAAACAACAAAATGCCTGTCTTTAAATGTCAATTCCTATGATTCTAATTTTGATTTTCTCCTGCCAAAGCTCCCACACTGTGTGGCTCTGATTTTCTCCTCAATGCTCATGAATCCCAAATCTGCCCTTGGAATTCCTCAGAGCTCCAGGGCCTTCCATTGGAATGTCTACTATTTAGCTACATGTGGATTTCCCAAAAGGAACTCACCCCCAGTATGCCTGAAACTAAAACTCATTCTATTTTCCCTCAAAACTGCTTCCCTGGCTTCCCTAAAAAGCATGGTAAATATAGAATAGGGTACATACAAGGGGTAGGGAAGCAAAGCAAGGGGACTTATTTATCTACTGTTGATGTTCTTTTTTTTTTTATTATGTTATGTTTATCACCATACATTACATCATTAGTTCTTGATGTAGTGTTCCATGATTCATTGTTTGTGTATAACACCTGGTGCTCCATGCAGTATGTGCCCTCTTTAATACCCATCACCAGGCTAACCTATCCCCCACCCACCTGCCCTCTAGAACCCTCCGTTTGTTTCTCAGAGTCCATAGTCTCTCATGGTTCCTCTCTCCCTCCGATTTCCCCTCCTTCATTTTTCCCTTCCTGCTATCTTCTTCTTCTTCTTCTTTTTTTTTCTAACATGTAATATATTATTTGTTTCAGAGGTACAGGTCTGTGATTCAACAGTCTTATACAATTCACAGCGCTCACCATAGCACATACCCTCCCCAGTGTCTATCACCCAGCCAACCCCATCCCTCCCACCCCACCCCCCACTCCAGCAACCCTCAGTTTGTTTCCTGAGATTAAGAATTCCTCATATCAGTGAGGTCATATGATACATGTCTTTCTCTGATTGACTTATTTCGCTCAGCATAATACCCTCCAGTTCCATCCACATCGTTGGAAATGGCAAGATTTCATTCCTTTTAATGGCTGCATAATATTCCATTGTATATATATACCACATCTTCTTAATCCATTCATCCGTCGATGGACATCTTGGCTCTTTCCACAGTTTGGCTATTGTGGACATTGCTGCTATAAACATCGGGGTGCGCGTACTGTTGATGTTCTTTCAAATGGTTTACAAAGCTCTTCAAGATAAGTGCCCCTCACCCACCCCTTCCCTGCTCTTATTATTGTCAGCTCTATCACCTGCCTCCTCAAACCCTATGCTCTGTTTCTTGAGTCCACCATGTTCTTTGTCTTGTGGCCTTTGCCTGTGCCACCCCTTGTGGCTGGACCACTCAGCCACCATTTCTTGATTTCCTGCCACTCATCCCTCAGGTCTCATGGAAAGTGGCACTTGCTTTGGGAAGTTTTCCTCGACTCCCAGATTGAGTGAGTTGTGGCAATCATAAGACTTTTCAGTTTTTAAAAACAGTACATTTACTTCCCAATTACAAAATTCTTTCACTATGTTTTAATTATTTTTTTAGATGCACAGAACCTGATCTGTAGTAAAACTTCAATATCTGTCAGAAGTGGTCAAAGTGAATATAATCATCTAGTTGTCAAAGTAGGAGCTATAATCACATATGTAAGGGACTTTAATTTTCCATTTTTAACAAGTTATAAGGTATATGTATTCTTAAATTTGCTCTTCATTTTTATCTTAAGTTATATATGCACATAGTTTAGAGTCTCATAGTTTAACAAGTCTTGTTACAAAAAAACACAAAACCAGCAGCACCTCCTGCCTTAATTATTGCTTCCTTAAAGGAACATATCAATTCTTGTGCTGATTCTTTTGATTATCGACCTCCATAGCTCTATATAACATGATTGCCATTGCTTGATTTTTTGGACTTCCTTTATAATAGAAGATGAAGATTTAGCTCCCTTTCACCCATTCCAACCATATTATCACATATTTTCTAACAATTTTCTTTGTGCTGTATTACCAACTGCCCTCTCTGTTTATTTGCTTAGTTTTCACCCACTGGACTCTAAGCTATGCCAGCATCTTTGCAGTGTATTCAAACAGTAGATATTCCATCAATTTCATATTCTTCCAAGAGCCTCTACCAGAGCCTTCCGACCTGCTAAAATCTAGATTTATTATTCTCATCCTGCTGCACAGATAGCACCTTGGGCTTTCCCTTCACCTTCATCCTTGAAGATTCTCTTCACTTGGTTCCTGTGATAGATTTCCTGCTCTCTGGACCCCACTTATTCCTTTCAGGATTACTCTCTTTATGAAAACATACCCTTCAGGATCTTCCTAATAATGGTACAAGGAGGTAAAATGTTTAAGACCTTGCATTTAAAAAATATCTTTATTGTTCTCTCACACTTAATTGGGAAGTTAGCCTGGGTATAGAAATCTAAATTGAAATCATATGCCCTTAGATTTTAAAAAATATTCTCTTAAATTTTTGAATACATTATTCCACTGTCTTCTAGAATACAATGTTGCTGTTGAGAATTCCAGTGTCCTCTTGATTCCCAATTCTTCATGTGGCAGCTTTGGAAACTTTTAGAATCATCTCTTTCTGATGTCATAAAATTTCATAGTGATACGGACCTTGGGTATGAATCTATTTTAATCTATTATGCTGGTGCTTACTAGTTTAAATATGAAAACTCATCCTTTAGTTCTGGAAATTTTTCTTGATTTACGTCTTTGAGTCCCTCCCTTTAGTGTCATTGTTCTTTTTCTGGAAATCCCATTTTTATATATGACTTCTAAAATGGTCCTTTAATATCTTGACCTTTATTTTCTATTTTTCATCTATACTTTTTGTTCTACTTTATGGGAGTATTTTCAGCTTTATCTTCTAATCCTTTTTGGTGTTTAATTTTTGCTATTTGATTTTTAATTTCTAAGAGCACTCTTTTGTCTTCTGAATGTTCTTTCTGTAGCACCTTGTTCTTGTTTCATAATTACAATTTCTTTTCTTAATTCCTTGGGGATACTAATGATACATAGTTTTGAAGTTTTTCTCTCCCTGCATAGTTTCTATTTCCTTCTAGTGGCTTTATTTCTGCTTGTTTGGACTCTGTTTCATGCTTGAGGCTTTCATTACTGTTCTTGTTATCTAGTACTGCTTATGAAATTATTCCAAAATCCAGTGGCTTAAAACAACCATTTTAAGAGGGCGCCTGGGTGGCTCAGTTGGTTAAGCGACTGCCTTCAGCTCAGGTCATGATCCTGGAGTCCCTGGATCGAGTGCCGCATCGGGCTCCCTGCTCAGCGGGGAGCCTGCTTCTCCCTCTGACCCTCCCCCCTCTCATGTGCTTTCTCTCTCATTCTCTCTCTCTCAAATAAATAAATAAAATCTTTAAAAACAAAAAACAAAAAAAAACACAACCATTTTAATACACTCATGAATTCAGTGGATTAGGAATTCAGAAAGGGCATAGGAGGGATCATTCCACAATGTCTGGAGTCTCAACTGGAGTCTCCACTCAATGTCTGAAGACCTGAAGGGTGTGGTGACTTGATAGCTGGTGGCACGAATCACTTGGAGGTATCTTCACTCACATGTTTGTGGGGACACTAGCTATCAGCTGAGACCTCATCTGGAACTGTCAGTGAAATCACCTACATATGGCTATGCCATATGTCCTAGACTTCCTCACAGCATGTAGAGATCAGATCCGTTACATGGGGCTCATGCCTTCAAAAGCAGCTCGGTCCCTGAGAACCAGGCAAAAACCTCTTCTAGCATAGTTTTGGAAGGCACATAGTGTCAATTCTGCTATATTCTACTGGTCAGCCAACTGGTCAGCCCAGATTCAAGGGGTAAGAGGAACAAATAAACCCTAGCTCTTAATGGAAGGAGTGTCAAAGAATTTGAGGACATGTTTTTAACTAAGACATCTGATAATCCTTGGCTGTCTTAATATTTTTTACTAAATAAAAAGCCAGGGACTAAAAGCTTATTGGAAGCTCTGGGCATGTAAGTAGGGCTTTTTGAGAGTGAGCATGACTGTAGAGTGCTATGGCTGGGTTGTTTCACTGGGGAAACCCAGAGGCCAGCATCTTCAGCTGTTTTCTGTCGGGTTGCTCCGATAACCCAGAGAAGGCCCTGTCAGCCTCGTGACTGGCTGCCAAAGTTAGAGGAATGGGGAAGGAGAAGCCGCCTGCATGACTCAGTGCCCATCATCACTTTCAGTGTGGTTTGCCAGCAGCTGTACCTGATTCTCATCAGACCAGAGACACTTTATTTTTAACTCTCTAGAGAATAATCCACCAGCCTCTCCTGGGGGGCAGGGAAGGACAGAAGCTGTGTCCTAGGGAAGGGGATTTGGGCCTCTAAGAGTTTCTTAACATATTTTCAAGCAGTCTTGCTGTTTTTGATCCTGCCTTCACCCCTATTTCCAGAGACACCTAATGCTGCCAATTCCTGAACCTTCTGGGAGGTCCCATGGAATAAATCAGGATGCTTCTTACTTTTCCACACTACCTATTTGGGATTTGCTTCCTCAGGACTACTAAATCAGTTATCACATCACCTGTTTTTCAGCTTCCAAAATGAGGTTTTTCCTGCCTTGTTCCTGATTTTTCCTGTCCTTGTGGGTTTATGCTTTCTTGGAAAAATCCTTTTACGTTAACTTTAGTGAAGTTTCAAAAGGAGCATAATGCATGCATTAATTATGCCATCTCTAACCACAAGTCCTGATTAAGCAGACACTAAAAAAGACAAAACCCTAGATAACATAATCACTATTAATTTAGGAGTTTAGATAAAAGAAATTGCTGTTAACTCTGTCACATTGTAAAAATGAAGTGGGGAACAGTATTCCCCAGAGTGGATTTGGGATGAACAGCTGTGTCTTAACCATAGAGTGGCAGACCTGCTCAGCAAATTAACAGAAGAGAAGAGCTGAAAAAGTTTAAAAGAGAAGAGAAACTTGGAAATTTTCTCAGAAAATTTCTAAGAAAGCCTGGGTACAAGGCCCTCAGAGCAGTAAGCATGGTTTAAATGGTTTAAATGACATTTCTCCTTTAAATTGCCTGGATTGCTTAGTGACTTGGAACATCTTTCCACGGTCCTCCAAACCAGTGTGTGTCTGGCCCACAAGGGTCACAATGGCATTCAGATTTTAGGATTCTGTCTCTAAGAACAGAAAACACTGTCCCAGGACTCTGTCATATAGTCTCGGTTTTTATCTTCTGAAGCCTCAGTGTAACTGCAAACCCCACGGATGCCCCTCATTAGTACTTCCTTCTGTAGAGGTACTAGTGGTGGCAGGGAGATAATGCCATTGAGCTCCACCACCATCAGCACCACCCGCTACACCAACATCTCCTCTTTCTAATGTTCACTGAGCACTAACTAGGGAGCGAGCTAGTTAGAACTTTTTACCCATGATCTCACTTTATCTTCATAGCAACTCTATGAGGAAAGGACTCATCTTATACCTGACATAACCAAGGCTTAGAAAGGTTGGTAAACATAGATCTGGGAATCAACTCGGGCTGTCTTCTGAACCTGCACTCTCAAGTGCTATGCCATGCTGCATCAGAGGGAGAGAGATACCCAGACCAGAAGTTGATAGAGTGGATATTATGCAAGAGCTGGGAAAGAGAAAAATCCACAATGCCTGAAAATATTACTCGAGGTTTCTGAATGAGAAAACAACAACAAAATCAAAACCAAAGGGGAAGTTCAAAGATCCCAAAGCAGCCAAATTGCAAAGATCTCTCAGCTTTGCCCCTTGCATAGAATGTTCCATAGTAACTGTATTGATAATTCAGCAACAGGATACTTACAGAATGTTTGCTGGAAATGAGACAGTGTTGGAGCTTCTGGGGCGATGTTGTAGAAGTGAGTTTTTAGAGCTCCGCTCACCAGTAGATTATATGCCAGATCAGTTATATTGATGCCCACAATTGCAAATGAGTACCTGCAAAGTGCAAACCACAAAACCAACTGCATGTCACATAAGCATTTAAAAATAATCTGATTTTTAAATTGCTGCTAAATTATCAGAGTGGCAGGTTGCCATTCCCTTTCTACCCAGTCTTTACCCTGAATGTTGTAACTTACTAGAAAATGCCAGTAATGTAACCAAGGGAATTAAGAGTCCATATGCTTTGATTTGGTAATTCTATTTCCAAATATATGAGAGAAAAAAAAATCAGAAACAAAGAGCTTTATATTCAAGGATACTCATTATAGCATTATTTATAATGGCAAAGACATGGGAACTATTCAGATATTCTAAAAAAAGATGACTGGTGAAATAAATTATGGCAATCTCATATTACAGCCAACAAATACTGTATTCCTAAAGACTATTTAAGTTGGAAACATTATGTATGAAACAAGCTACGTTTTATTACATGCTCACACATGTGCACAAAAAGAGGGCAAGAATGAAGTGCCATCAAATATTACTATGCTATGTTAGAGGAATAATATAGGGGTGATTTTTTTTGTTTCCTTTCCTGTATTTTCTATATTTTCCATAATAAGTCATATATTACTTTTAAAATGAGGCAAAATTTAAGTATCTTGACACTCAGGGTATATTTCCTAGTTCCTTTTCTACATGGCTACCAAAAATTAAATGGAGGGGCGCCTGGGTGGCTCAGTTGTTAAGCGTCTGCCTTCGGCTCAGGTCATGATCCCAGGGTCCTGGGATCGAGCCCCACGTCGGGCTCCCTGTTCGGAGGGAAGCCTGCTTCTCCCTCCCCCACTCCCCCTGCTTGTGCTCCTGCTCTTGCTATTTCTCTCTCTCTCTGTCAAATAAATAAATAAAAATATTTAAAAAACAAAAAACAAAAAAACAAAAATTAAATGGAATTGAGGTCTTAAGTCTGTGGGTAATATAAATCCAGCACATAAAAAAAAGGAGTCTCCATTCAGAAATATTTTTGAATGAAATGGGGCATTAAAAAAAAACTAATAAAGTAAATGTATAATCTAATAGCCTGATACTTGATAAAAATCCTTAAAAAAAACCCTACCAGATACGCTTATTATTTATTTATTTATATTATTATTATTTTTAAAATATTTTATTTATTTATTTGACAGAGAGAGACACAGTGAGAGAGGGAACACAAGCAGGGAGAGTGGGAGAAGGAGAAGCCGGCTTCCCATGGAGCAGGGAGCCTGATGCGGGACTCGATCCCAGGACCCTGGGATCATGACCTGAGCGGAAGGCAGGCACTTAACGGCTCAGCCACCCAGGCGCCCCTACACTTATATTTTTTTTTAAGTAGGCTCCACACCCAGCATGGAGCACAATGCAGGGCCTGAACTCATAACCCTGAGATCGAGACCAGAGCTGAGATCAAGAGTCGGATGCCTAACCAACTAAGCCACCCTACCCTGCCAAATATAATTCATTTAGATGATTTCTGAAAATCATTTTCATATAGTTATAACTTTGTAAAGATTGTCAGTTGGTCAAAGGCAAAGTAGTACCATAGAATCACCCAAATAAATCCAAAAACTTATGGTTCTTTTAAAAGTTCAACTGGATTGGGCGCCTGGGTGGCTCAGTTGGTTAAGCGACTGCCTTCAGCTCAGGTCATGATCCTCGAGTCCCGGGATCAAGTCCTGCATTGGGCTCCCTGCTCGGCAGGGAGTCTGCTTCTCCCTCTGACCTTCCCCCCTCTCATGCTCTCTTTCTATCTCATTGTCTCTCAAATGAATAAATAAAATCTTAAAAGAAAAAAAAGTTCAACTGGATTATATATTTCCATTAGGACATTTTTCATCTTTGTCATCTTTTACAGTGTTCTTAGGACATTTTTTTTTCCTGGTTCTGGTTCTGATTGACAGCCTTTATATATGAAATCCCACACTCACCCAATTGCTTTATCCATCCTTTTCTTCTCCCATTCTGCTTTGCTGAATTTGCTGAATGAATGAATAAAGAAATAAGATTTAATCTCTAATTGGTACTTTTCTCTTTTAATGTTTATATTAAAACTATTGACTAGATGCAGAGATGTCTGTAACTCAGTTCTCAAACACTAATCAATTTAAATTTTATCAATTAAAAATCCATAGTAAAATTTATGTGGAGCTCAGAAATGGGATTATTTAAAGCCCTGCTACTTATCCCTTATTCCCTTTAGTGCAGCAGTGAGAGACAGTCCTTAAGGTGAAACACTAAAGTACTTTTTTATGAAATCATTGATTATCAAACAATACTTTCTCCATGGGGTATGTCTCTTCTAACCAGATGCTCCCTTGCTCTCTCATAATTCCCCACTGCATCTCCTTTGGTTTTATTTCCTGGCATTTATCCTATTCATTCTTATTTGTGATGTCTGGCTCACCGTAGGTGCCAAATTGAATAAAGTAGTGAACTAGTGAAAGGAATGAAGGCAGGGAGGGAGGAAGGAAGGATATATAGGTTTTAAAAACTCTGTTTTCACAAGTCCTATGGCATTTCCTCTGTCTAAGCTAAGACAGCTAAACCACAGCAGTTCCATTTTGATCCATTTTATAATTTGAGCTTCTGAATAAGAGTTGTAGAAAGGGGTCTATCATAGAAGTATTCTGAAAATACTGCCTTGCATTCTTTTACTTTGTGGACTTGCAAGTCCTTCCCATTCTCCCCCGCTCCATACTGTCAATGTTTTGTAAACAGAAACCATGTTCCACTCCTCTCTGTGGCTAATGTAATCTTCATTTTACACTAAAAAATGTGGTTAGCATTTGAACTAAATAACATTTTAAAATTACTGTTACGAACATTTAGCTTCCATCTAACTAGGGTTCTCTATAATATGTTGCACACGCTACATTAAAAGACACCCATGTGATACACACAGCACACGACCACAAAAACATGATACAAAATTGGTATTTAACTATATGTACTTTCCACTCTGTAAATGACTAGTTGTAATTCAAAGTAACTGCCTTTCATTCATGTTAAAATATGCCACCTCTTTTTAAGGTGTAACTGCCTACAAACCAGCCAACCAACCAGCCAAAAAGGCATTAGATTTTTACTTAGAAGACTCATATCTGAACTAAACTGAGTTAGGGATGAAATTTAAGAAACTTTAAATAAACAGATTTATAAGCATCTATTTTCTCTTAACAAAGCTTTAAAAATACATAGTGTCTCCGTATTTAAGTGAAGTCTTTTTCTGCATTGGAAATAAAAGAAAAGGCCAAATGACCTCCACTCATTTAACCACTTACAGGATATCCTGGACCAAATAGAATGAATCCCTTTCTTCAAGAAACACACAACAGTAACAACAACAAACTTGTTGCAAAATTCTCTTAGACTTGAATGTACTTAGGTCCCTCAGGCTACTCTAGGACGTAACAGATGGAGGTTTACAAGAGCAATACAGCAATGTATAATGCTTGCTGTTGGGTAGACAGGAGAGTTTCCTTAGCATACACTGCTGCTCAACACCTGAAGTATTCGGGGCCTGACAACCTACGCTGCTAGCGCAAGTGGTCAGTATGTACTTATTTTAGGCATTGGTGAAGGATAGTAGCATTTTCAAAACATTCCGATTTGTGTTTACTAACATTTACCATCAATATGAAGTGATTAATATTTGACGTTCAAATACTACTCAATTTTATGGTGGCTTGAGGAACACAGCATGGTGGCTTTATCTACAGATAAAGCCCCGCACACACACACATGGTAGTCTCTTCTTAAATAAGAGTATTCACACATAAACTATCAAATATATCCTCTCTGATGGTTGACACAAGAAATAAAACTACAAAGCCTAGCTTTGAGAATGGCTCACAGCTAAAATTTATCATCCTATAATGATTAATCAAAAAAATATTCACTTCCCAATGACCATGGAGGATTCATGTGTTTTTCTGATGTTCTTCCAGGAATACCTGAGTATAGACACTGACTCCCCAGACAATTTTAATTGGAGGAAGTTCAGAGTCTCTACATCACAGAAATATGCAATTCAGAAAATGCAGTTAAAAATTAAATTAAAATAGCTTGATTTTAACCAGGTTTTATATATATATACATATATATATGTATATATATCTGTATCTATCTCAAGAAAGAGCTAAATGATTTTACTGTTTTTCTCAAATAAAAAGGTAAAAAAATGAAAATATAATCTTATAAATAAAAGATTATAAATACAAATTTAGAAAGTATAGTGTAATTTAATGAACCTTAGCCAAATGAAGCTTGAATAATAGTAAGGTGGCGGGAGCAAAGTTAACCTGTTTCTGAATTTTGAGAATGGTATGATAAAATTTGGGGTTGATTTATTAAATATGAACACTAACAAGGAACTTGGCATGCTGAGGAGAAAAAAGTGATACAAAAGCATGACTGCAAAATGGCAGAACTCCTTATATACAATAACTACGATTTTTAATAATGAAATTAGAAATATATAGTAGAAGAGAAAAATTGCTCTATGCAACAAAACTTCCAAATGAAATGTCCCGCTCTGGGGAGTAGATGAGGTCAGAGCATGTGTGGTGACGTGTTCAGCCATTAGGTGAAGTGCTCAACATGGTTCTCTGATCAGGTACAGCCGTGACTGTAGAAAAGCTCTTTGATATTTTCTGTTAGGTTGGTCTAATCTGGTTTTCCTTCACTAAAACACAACCTAAATATAATGAAGTATAATAGATAAAAAGTTGGGAAATGTTTTTTGAAAAATTTTCAAGAATTTATATTTCTGTAAAAATTCTTACCCATACTGATTCTAAAATGAAATAAAAGCAACAAAACACAAAAGCAAATAAGAAATACCTTATTTCCTCTTTAGTGATATCCCTTCATGTAATCAGTTAAAGAAAAAAAAATTTAGGAAGTTAAATGAAAATGCAAAATATTTAGAATCTAGATTTTTATCAAGGAAAATAAAAAAGCCTCAGCATTCTGGATTTTCTCAGTTGGCCCCTGACTTCATAGCTCCCGTTCTCCCCTCTGTCCCCCCATCGTGCTCTTCTGTCTCTGAAATCTTTCTTTCAGGCTCTGCCTTTCTCCTTCTGTGCCCACCTCCTTAATCCTCTGGACACCAGCGATGTTATCAGTCCCTTTAAATACTCATCTCACTTGAACGGTGCCACTTTACATCCTGAATCCTGTCATAAGTACCTGGAAGTTTTAACCCTCTTATTCAGTATTTGTCCAAAGTGCTCATTTGAAAGAGTTTTAAGCCTCACTTCTGGTGGGTTGATGCTCCTGAGAATCTCACTCACATATCTGTGGAGGAGAAGTTCCTCTGAGCTAAGCCATAAGCCTAATCCATCTTTTATTTTTAGTAATTACCTGCATTTTGGATGAAGAGAGTCAGAGAGGACCTGCTGAGCTGCTACAGCGTCCCTTTCTGCAAAATACCTGCAGTTGGGGGAAAAGAAAACCACAGCTCCATACCTGTTGGATGCATTCATTTTAATCCAGTTTCAGGCCATTTTGCATTCAGAGGTAGACACCAGCAGAAGACTCCCACTTGTTTCAGCTCTTCCAGAGAACAGACGGCTTTTCATAATAGGATTTTCCAAATATAATGACAGTATAATAGGGAAGTTGTAAAACCCACACAGATTTAGGAATGTATCGAGTGGGTTTGAAATTTTATCTTTTTATTTTAAAGATTTTTATTTATTTATTTGACAGAGAGAGAAAGAGCAGGCGAGCACAAGTGGGGGGGGAGCAGCAGAGGCAGAGGGAGAGGGAGACTCCCCGCTGAGCAGGGAGCCTGATGTGGGACTCGATCCCAGGACCCCAGGATCATGACCTGAGCTGAAGGCAGATGCTTAACCAACTGAGCCACCCAGGTGCCACAGGTTTGAAATTTTAATTATGAACTTTGCCATTCCCCAGGGAGCTAAGGATATTTGTAGTTAGAAGGGTTATAGATGAGGGGGCAGGATGAGGCCCCTCAGAAGGCAGAAGCAGCCTGGATGAAGGGACATACCGAGGGGCTGTGACAGTCAAGGGACAGAGAGAGGAAGAGAGTAGAGGAGGTGAGAGATGATGCACTTCAAGTGCATTTTTCTTGGAGAGTATTCATGGGTATTTGAATTCTGGATGAATGGAAAATACGGTGCTAAAAGCAAAATTCTACCCTGGGGAAAAAGGGCAATAAAATTTCTTAAAAAATACAGTTACATACCTTATAAAATACATCACAAAAAGTATTTCATAAAGACAGTAACAAAATAAAACATTAGCATATGTTATTTAATTTGACGTGTATATATTTCCCACATAAATCTGAAGCATGAAACAAGCTCTTGAATTTTCTCAGAAAATTTCAAACCATAGTCAACAGTTTGAATATACATGTCCATGATTATTAATGAAACTGAGTCTCTTTTCATACTTTTATTGGCCATCTAGAAAACCTGGATGTCTTTTGTGTCTTATCTGTTCATATTTTTTGGTCTAGCATATCTAAAAATGTCTTCAAACAAATAAGACAAATAACCCTATAGAGAATAATATACTGGATGGGGATCCTTTATCATTTATGTGAGTGTCAGACTTGGCTTGTCTTTTCACTTTATTTATGATGGCTTATCTTACAGAAATTTTTAATGTGTGAAATGTATTGATTTTTGTCTTATAACTTGTGCTTTTTTTTCTTTGTGTCTTTAAGGGATCCCTCCCTACATATCTGAAAAGATTTTCTCCCAAAAGTTGTAAAGACTTGTTTTTGACATTCCATTTGTGAAACTGAGATTGAGACAGAGGTAGAGATTTTTTTTTCTCAGCTCTACTTATTCAAAAGCTCATCCTTTATCCACTTATTTGTCACAGTATCTTTGTCCTCAAAATTTACTTTTTATTCATTCATGTTATGTAATGTGGTATTTACAACATTTCATAAAAGAATAGGTGATTATTAAGTGTCCCAAATTTAAAATAAAGGCAAACATCTAGAGGAAAAATGGGGTGCATCCAAAATGACTAAGGCTTAGTTTCTTTTATTTTTATTTTTTTAAAGATTTTATTTATTTATTTGTCAGAGAGAGAGAGAGAAAGAGCGCACAAGCAGGGGGAGCAGCAGGCCAAGGGAGAAGCTGGCTCCCTGCTGAGCAAGGAGCCCTATGTGGGGCTCGATCCCAGGACCCTGATCATGACCTGAGCTGAAGGCAGACATGTAACTGGCTCAGCTGCCCAGGCATCCCAGGCTTCGTTTCTTTTTAAAATACATAGCTATCTTGGGGCGCCTGGGTGGCTCAGTCAGTTAAGCGGCTGCCTTCGGCTCAGGTCATGATCCCAGGGTCCTGGGATCAAGCCCCGCATTGGGCTCCTTGCTCAGCAGGCAGCCTGCTTCTCCCTCTGCCTCTGCCTGCCGCTCCCCCTGCTTGTGCTCTCTCTTTCACTATCTCTCTCTCTGTGTCAAATAAAAATAAATAAAATCTTTAAAAAAAAAAATACATAGCTATCCTAACTAATAGGATGGTGTCAAATCGCAGAGAACCACTGAAAAGGACTCCCTTTGGCTTGAAAAATAGTGACTCCATATGAATTAATTTAAACATGAAGGAAAGAATGAGCGCACAGTTATTTGAATCATGATGAACATATAAGAACCATGAATTAAAAATGGTATTTAAGGGGCGCCTGGGTGGCTCAGTTGGTTAAGCGTCTGCCTTTGGCTCAGGTCATGATCCCAGGGTCCTGGGATCGAGTCCCTCATCGGGCTCCCTGCTCAGCTGGGGAACCTGCTTCTCCCTCTCCCTTTGCCCCTCCCCCTGCTTGTGTGCTCTCTCTCTCTCTCTGTCAAACAAATAAATAAAATAAAGAGGTAAGGGCCTAATTGTTTAAAAAAATGGTATTTAAAAAATAAAGTAAAAAAAAATTTTTTTTTGGTCACTAACGAGGGACCTTAGGGCACTAACTCCTCACTTTGATAATTGGCAACTACATGGAAAAATCAAGCATCTGTCCTGCCTGTATGTTAGAGAAAGTAAATAACCATAGTTGATGAAGGAAACCAAGTCTTTACAGAATTCCAGCCAACAATTGTGGGAGGAATCACAGAATTGGAAAAGCACTTTTTGTGCAATTAATTAACTGGTCCAGCAAAGATCACTGAAGGATGAAATGGTTAGATAAAAGGCTGATGGGGGACTTTGCAATGGAGCCATCAGGCTGTGATACCTCCCATCCCTCTCAGCACAGGACTGAGAAGGGGACACGGCAGGCCACCCTCAGTGTCAACCTGAACCTACTCATGCCTTTCTGAATACCTCCAATTTTCAGAAAATCCAGAGCATGGGACATTTTAGAGGATAGCTGACCTGGGGTCTTGCACAAGTTTATGACATTGGGGAGGGGGCAAAAGGAGAAGGCAGACAGGGAGAGACATAATAACTAAGTGCAATATGTAGATATTTGAATGGAACTGGATTGGAAGAAACCAGCCATAAGAAGACATTTTTGAGAGAGCTGGGAAATTTTAATATGGACTGGATACAGATGACACCAAGGAATCACTGTAATTTTGTTAGATGTGATAGTGGCACTGTGGTTAATACAAGGTAATATTGATTTTTTTAGAGCTACATATTGAAATGTGAGGACGAAATGACAAACAGTAAAGGACTTCATTAACACACTTCTGCCAAAAAAAATAAGCGTTGCAGATGTTTCAAAATCTTGATAATTATTGAACTTGGACAGTATAAGGGGGTTCTTTACAGTCTTCTATTTGTTTTTGTATCTACTTAAATTTTTTCGTAATACGAAATTAAAAATTAAAACATTTGAGATCTGCTTATAAAACAATAAAGTTTGCCAAAGAAAAGGGAGAGGTAGTACCTTTTTAAAATTTAGGAACCTGAGTTATCTCTCAGAGGACTTTCAGAGGACTTCACTGTTTTCTTGGAGCTTTCTGCCAAGTGGCTTTTGGAACTAGTAACTCAGCGGTCATTTCCATGTGACTAGGACATCACTTTTTAATACTCAACCCTTCTCCATTTTACTTACTGCAAATTGTATAGGCCCAGAAGTCCCATTCCTCGAAAATCTGTTTTAGGATCATCACCTTGGAAACCAATTTCACACCACTGCTTAGAAATCCGAGATTCCAATGGAGTATTGGGCTTCAAGAATTTCCATAACTGGAAGATAAGACAGAAAGTTAGCCTGTTGGTGTAAACACAAACGCTCTTTCCTGTGGTAGATTTTGTAAACTACATTATTAGGAGGAGTTTTACAAAGCTGAATATAGATTTGATCATATTTCAACGATTTGGACAGCCGTTCTCACAGTATGGTCTGAAGATTCCCTAGAGGGACTCCAAGACCTTCTCAGAGGGCCTGGGAGGTAAAAACTATTTCATAATAAAACTAGGAGGTTATTTGCCTTTTCCCTCTCATCTTCTCATGAGTATATAGTGGAATTTTCCAGAGGCTGTGTGACATGTGATAATGTCATTACTCTGGAGGCTATGGAATGTGTACTTGTATATTTTAGTGTTTTACATCTTTCTGTTTTAATTTCTAATAAAAATATAACTGCATAATCTCCCACAAAAGGTCCTCAAAAATATGTAAGAGAATGAAGGTAAGGGGTGAACAAGGAAAAATTTGAGGCCATGTATTATTTTTACAGCATTATTAACAAAAAGAAAAGTGGGCTGACTTGAGTTTCATTTCTCACCTGTAGCAGAGGTGAGAATAAACAAGCATCATATAGCTGGATAAAGGAGGATCACTGATGTTCATGGATAAATAAACCTCAAAATATATTATCATTTTTAAAAGTTACCTAAAAGAATTTTAATTCCAATCAGTATATATTAATTGACAAATACAAACTGCAAATACTATGCTCTTCACTGCCTAAGGAGCTGGTTCTATTTTCCTGAGTTTTCTATAGAAAGACAGATTCAGCACATACTATTACTTGAGAAAGAGTGAGACCCAGAGCTGCATAAATATATAATGCTCAAACTAGTCTTTCAAATAAATAGAGATGGGCATATAAGCAAATTTACTTTTTAGACTATTAATAATATATCTTTATTATAGACAGGGACAAATACAAATGTAAAATTTTCTTATTTCAGACATAATTCAACTTCTAAATTGTTTATTCTATGATGTATGGATTTTAAATCTTACAGAGAATAGTAATACAGAAACAGCTTGCTTTATAGTGAATTGTCATATCTGACACAATATAGAACATAACATTCAGTGACAGGAAACACTAACCAAAAAAAAAAAAAAAAGATACAATTCGAAGGATACAATATGTTAGTGGCTCAACAGGTAAATGCAGTCTGAAGGGTGAGAGAAAAAATTCAGAGGGAAGAAAGTAAATCTGTCATGCTTGAAAGCAAAATAGCAAACATGAGTATAAGAAATTTCTTTTTCTATTATGCATATGAGAATTTGCCAGTGCTCTACATTGGGACAGAAAATGTTTGAGTTCAACAGAGGAGCAATAAAAAAATGAGAGAAAAGGCCTCTTTTATCAGATAAAGGGCTAGTATCTGAAATCTATAAAGAATTTATCAAACTCAACACCCAAAGAACAAATAACCCAATCAAGAAATGGGCAGAAGACATGAACAGACATTTTTCTAGAGAAGACATCCAAATGGCCAACAGACACATGAAAAAGTGCTCAACATCACTCGGCATCAGGGAAATCCAAATCAAAACTTCAATGAGATACCACCTCGCACCAGTCAGAATGTCTAAAATTAACAAGCCAGGAAATGACAGATGTTGGCGAGGATGCGGAGAAAGAGGAACACTCCTGCACTGTTGGTGGGAATGCAAGCTGGAGCAGCTGCCCTGGAAAACAGTACGGAGGTTCCTCACAAAGTTGAAAATAGAGCTACTGTACGACCCAGCAATTACACTAGTGGGTATTTACCCCAAAGATACAAATGTAGTGATTGGAAGGGGCACATGCACCCCAACGTTTATAGCAGCAATGTCCACAATAGCCAAACTATGGGAAAGAGCAAGATGTCCATCAAGAGATGAATGGATAAAGAAGATGTGATACACACACACACACACACACACATACACACAGGAATATTATGCAGCCATCAAAAGGAATGAAATCTTGCCATTTGCCATGACGTGGATGGAACGAGAGGGTATTATGCTAAGCAAAATAAGTCAACCAGAGAAAGACGATTATCATGTGATCTCACTGATATGAGGAATTCTTAATCTCAGGAAACAAACTGAGGGTTGCTAGAGTGGTGGGGGGTGGGAGGGATGGGGTGGCTGGGTGATAGACATTGGGGAGGGTATGTGCTCTGGTGAGTGCTGTGAATTGTGTAAGACTGATGAATCACAGACCTGTACCTTTGAAACAAATAATACATTATATGTTAAAAAAGAAAAAAAAAAAAGTAGGAAGGGAAAAATGAAGGGGGGGAAATCGGAGGGGGAGAGGAACCATGAGAGATTATGGACTCTGAGAAACAAACTGAGGGTTCTAGAGGTTCTGGGTTAGCCCGGTGATGGGTATTAAAGAGGGCACATGGGCGCCTGGGTGGCTCAGTTGGTTAAGTGACTGCCTTCGGCTCAGGTCATGATCCTGGAGTCCCTGGATCGAGTCCCGCATCGGGCTCCCCGCTCGGCGGGGAGTCTGCTTCTCCCTGTGACCTTCCCCCCTCTCATGTGCTCTCACTCTCTCAAATAAATGAATAAATAAAATCTTTAAAAAAAAAAGAGGGCACGTAATTGGAGAACTGGGTGTTATACACAAATGATAAATCATGGAACACTACATCAAAAACTAATGATGTAATGTATGGTGATTAACATAAAAATTTTTTTTTAAAATGTTAAAAACAAAAAGAGGGCACGTATTGAATGGAACACTGGATGTTACACGCAAACAATGAATCATGGAACACTACATCAAAAACTAATGATGTAATGTATGGTGATTAACGTAACATAATAAAATAAAATTAAAAAATAAAAAATAAAAATTCTTTAGGAACTGATTTGGTTACTGCCACGATGAAAAACAAACAAGAACGAAAGGAAACAGTTGGTAAAGCTCATCACACTCATTTGGTCAATAATTCGAAGGAATCTCAGGGCCTCACACAGTGGAGTGAAATGGCAAAAGCAAACACTTCATTTCTATAGGTAGCTTATAAACCTCATTCATTAGGGGAATACTTTAGGGGAGTAGAAGTTTGAATAATGCTTAAAAAAGAAATCCATTTAAGTAATTTCATGTATCATGACAGACTAGACCAATGGCTAAAAAGTGTTCTTAATTAAGATCTTAATCCTATCTGCTTTAATAAGGGCCACTTTCTCAGAAAATGAAAGTCGATTATGCTAAAGTATTTCTGTGAAGGGCTACCATGTGTATATTTCCTTTAAGAATGAGCTACTGGGGGCGCCTGGGTGGCTCAGTCGGTTAAGCGGCTGCCTTTGGCTCAGGTCATGATCCCGGGGTCCTGGGATAGAGTCCCGCATCGGGCTCCCTGCTCAGTGGAGAGTCTGCTTCTCCCTTTCCGTCTGCCTGCCTCTCTGCTTACTTGTGCTATCTCTCTGTCAAATAAATAAATAAAATCTAAAAAATAAAATAGGGGGGAAAGTTTAAAAAAAAAAAAAGAATGAGCTACTGGATTCTCTCCTGATAGGCTCTTCTCTGAAAAAGTAAGGGGAGCAGGCAGGGTGGCCCTGAAGGGTGAGGTCATTTGTTGCATATATGGAGCTGACCAGAAACCTGAACAAAGGTGGCGGGCCTCTGATGGGGGGCTCTGTGGAGTTCAGCCCTCCAAACTGTGCTGGTGGCAATGGAATTATTACAGAGTTACCTGCTACAGGTAGGAGACCAGATCACCAAGGGCGATTCCTGTGGAAAATGACAAGCTTCAGATGTGGAAGCTGTACCCTGGGTCAGACTGTCATCCATCATGGCCTATGCTCTGTTTAACTCTGTTCTCTTTGCACTGAGCCTTTACCACAAACTTATTTCAACATTTCCCCTTGTCTCAGGTCTGCTGCAAGAGAGCAAGGGCAAGGCCATTTGTCTATCCATTCATTCAAGGAAAAGCAGTCTCACACCAAGGCCACCTTGGAATTATCTCTTCCCATCAGGAGAGGATCTTTTAATTTTGGGTTTGGTTTTGTTTTAGATGGGGTGGGGGGGAAGGTAGGGGCAGAGAGAGAGAGAGAGAATCTTAAGCAGGCTCCACGCTCAGTGCTGAGCCCAATGCGGCACTCGATCCCATGACCTAAGCCGAAATCAAGGGTTGGATGCTCAAGTGACTGAGCCACCCAGGAGCTCCTATTTTTTTCTATTAAGTACATGACTTCACCTAAAATTTTCGCCTTATTATTAATGTGGTTAGCAAATGTTTAATAGAATAACATATGGATGAATAACATATGGACAGTGCTATATGAACATAAAGTAATGATACTCAGTTTCATCTCACCCTATATTTGAATGATCATAAAATCCAGATTTTTTAATATTTTAAGACTATAAGCACTGATAATGGTCTCCCGTGTTTATAAATCAAAGCACTTAAACAATATGGTAATATATTACCTAAGTCTCTAAATCAAGGGTTGGCCAAGTCTGCCTGGAAAGGGCCAGACAGTAAATATTTTAGGCTTTGGTGGCCAAATGGTCACTGCTGCAATTACTTAATTTTGTCACTGTAGTACAAAAGCAGCCGCAGACAGTGGTATACACGTGTATTGACATACATCCAATAAAACTTGACTTACAGAAATGGGTGGCAGGCCAGATTTGGCCCGCAGGCCTTAGTTTGCTGGCTCTTGCTCTAAACAATTTATGAAGTGGGTAACAAGGGTATTACTACCCATTTTAAAGATGAAGCAGCCTAAGATCAGGCAGTTAAACACAAACCACAGGCCAGTCTCTCGAAATACAAATGGGAACAAGACACAGTTCCTCCCTTGGGAGGTGGCGTAGTGCAGTAGCGTGGAGCCCTTTCTAACTGTGTGAGCTTGGGCAGTACTTAACTGCTCAGCCTCGTCTTCCTCACCCGAAGATCTCGCCACAAGGCTGTGACCGTTAAATGAAATAATGCTGTAAAACATTTACTGTAATGTTTAACGTGCGCTAAATACTCACTTAATGTTTTATTATTATTGATTTCATTATCATACTTGGGATTTGAATAAACTAAAGAAGAGAATAAAGACCCCATTCCTAAGTATTCTTGGGGAGACTAGAGAAGATTTCAAAATCAAATGACTAAGGATTTAAAAAGTGCTAGCTTCTGCTATGAGAATAATAGGTAATAGAGGGAGCCACATGAGCAAATACCTGGGCATAAGGGATGGCACGGCCTGTTCTGGGTCAAGGTGAATGACAGAGCATAGAGGATACAGGAGATACAGCTTGGAAAAATAGACTGCAAAGGGTCCAAAATGCCAAGCATGGGATTTCTTCTGTCAGATACAGGGAACCTAAAGTTTTTGACCTAAGGAATAACATGACTAGATAATCCCTCCAGCAGTATTTTAGAAGATGGAAGGGAGGAAGCTAATACTTAGTGGCAGAATTAAAAGGCTATTATAATGGCCCAAGCTGGAGATAATGCTAGAATAAGGTGGTGGGCATGGGAAACATTCAAGAGCTATTTTGAGGGAGATCTATGGATAAGATTTAATGATTTTTGTAGATGCATAGTATCTCCCCAATTAGATTGCAAGACACTTGAGGGTAGACAAGATGCATTTCCTCAAAGTGCTTAAGGCAGTAGTGGACAGTCCTGGCTTTATACTTTATTAGCTGTATGCATCAGAATCTGGACTGAAATGCTTGTAGTTTGCTGTAGCTACCAACTGTCACCTTGCTTACCTCTTACAGCTGTGCCAGTAAAAATAACACAAACTCAAATCACAACCACATATAAAAGGTGTATCATAGAAGTTCTTGACTTCTTGTAGCTAATGAACCACAGTAATTCATGCTTTTCCCCGTATTTGTTGAAAACCCACTATGTGCAGCATCCATACAACAGATCAGCTAAGATGGTGCAAAGCAGGCACCCGGGTGTCATTTATGCTGAAGGCGTCATGACCCGGGTGTCCCTGATTCTGAAGGCGTCATGGCCATTCTAACGAATTCTTCAGCTGCCTGTGGCCACTCTGTTAATTTTTCCACCTCTCAGTTCTCACCTTGAAGTCATTTTAATTAAGCTTGATTTTAATTAGGCTATCAGAAAATATGATAAAAAAGGCAATAATAGGAAATGAAGCTCAGCCAGTAGGTTAGCTAAATTTAAGCAGAGCAGAAAGGGAAGATGAAAAACTACTGCTAAGAATGAGTCTTCTTTCATTTTTAGGGATTCACATCAGATATAGCACTAATTAGCAGAGACAAGTCATCTGCGTAAGTATTTACATACACAAAAGCATGCACTCCTTTACACAAAAATACAGCACTCCTTCACACAAAATTACAGCTCCTATTGACAGTTTTCAATAAGATAAAGTTAAGGCAGCTAAACAAATGTTTCCTTCCAATTTTGTTAGTGTATTTTTGTATTCTAGCAAAGGACAGGGAAGCACTCCATCCTAAAAAGCATCTATTTTCAGAAGTGATTTTAGAAAATATTCCAGATGAATAGTTCTAAAGGTTGGGTCTTAATTTCTTAAACTCCAAATTCAGTGTTTTGAGGTCAAGTTTTATTGGTGTTTAATAATGCACATCAGATCATATAAAATCTTTAAGGTTTTGCTTTGACAGCCAGAAGAAGTATTTACAAGTGCATATTGTTCTTCTAACAGTTTTAATAAACCAGATATAAACTTTAACTTCCTCTTCTGATACTCTCCAAGTTACATGAATAAATAATCAGCAATAAGATCTTAGGTAATTTCCCAAGAGGACTATTGCTGAAGCAGAAACCAACTTCATCATCTTTGATGTCTATTAAAAGTCATAAATGGAAATCCCAGGTCACTCTTTGACAAATGCTCTTTCTCCTACTGGCTTTCAATACAGTTAAACAGCCTAAACCTGAGCCAGAATATGAGTACTCATGGAAATCACCTCTGATGCTCTCTCAGATTAAAAAAAAAAAAAAAAAAGACTTTACATTTAGCTTCCCACATGAATTTTCTAAAGAAGAATTTACCTCGTACATCTGAACCAGCAAGCAAAGTAGGCTTTACCAACCAGTTACACGCCCGTGTCTTATTCATCTTTATACCCTCCCCATCAAAGCAGTGTCTAGCACTTAGCAGGTGCTTGGCAGAGGTTAGCTGACCTAAGAAAAGCACTGAAATGTGTTCGAGGTCTAACCTTCAAAAGCATTTCTTCATGTTGGGGGTTATCAGAATCATAGGGTTCTCTGCGCAGTTTTTCCACATCTGCGATAAGGTTTCTGTAGCCAACAATTTGCAGAAGGCAAGCCTGAAGAGAGATTCCCAACCTAAGGTGTTCAAAAACAGAAGAAACACAACATGAGGAAAAACAAAACATATATTTTGGCATTTGTTCACTTGATATGTGCACAATAGGATTTCCACATCTATATAATATTGAGGAAATTGCTCGTATGGGATGTATTTAATCGAAGCCCAGTTTTTCTTTTCTTTTTGTGGACAAAGAACCGTATTTAGTTTACTGAGAAAAATAAAGGAATGTAACATTTCCTGCATTGGTCTCACAACCACTTCTTACTTGAGTGGAGGAAGCACAGTTTCTTTACTCAAGCTCCATATGGACAGTTGTAGAACTTGGCTAAAATTTACCTTTTGTTCTGGCCTTTTCTTAAACCAAGTTGCAACAATATGGCTTAAAAAACAAGGAAGATCTTTTTGCCGGTGACTTAAGTAAGATGTAGAAAATATAGGTGATAATGTGTGTGAGAGAGACAGCTAGCTCTCAGGGGCACAGTAGAAGGAAAATTTCAGAACAACAATAACAAAACAAATACAAAAACATCTGTGCTCAGGAGCATCCCTGACAGATCACGCAATGCCAAGAGAAAGAAAGAACTACTTTATGAAGTTTCTCATTCCATTCTGACTGCTCTATTTGTCTGAATGCTTTTTCTTATGTTGAAACAAAATTTGCTTTCCTTATTACCAAGTGGTTCAAATTTTGTTCTCTGAGCAAATTTATTTCCAACTTCCCCCTGCCGTGACTACTTATTTTAAGATAGTGATTCTTTCTTCTAGTCTTATCTCCAGGATTTAAAAAAAAAAAAATCCTGGATTTCTTCAATTCCCTCTCATGGGACATGGGTTTCACATGTTTTATTCTCTCACTCAGTCTTCTCTGAATGCATCGTTTGAATAACAGCCCCCTTAAAACAGATCACCAGAACAGAAAACAGTTTAGCAAGCATGATATACAGAGGATCACTACTTCGTGTGACCTCAGTGTTGTTTTTCTCTCCTACAACATAGCAGATAAAATAGGGTCTTTTCAAGTAGTCACATAACAACTTTATCAAGCTACTGTCATGTAAATTATTCTCCTGTACTTGTTTGATGGCATTTTTAAATCTAAAGGCAGCATTTCACATTTATGTATTCCTGTTGTTTCTTTATAGCCATTCACTTTTGTAGCTCCAAGATAGTTGAACATTGGCGATTTCATAGGATTCTACTCAGAGTTACTGTCCAATAGGCTCCTACTCCCAATTCACACTAACGTTTGAGGATTTTTGTTGTGGTGGTTATTATAATCATGACTATCTTTTTTTTTTTTTTTTTGAAGGAGAAAATGAGATAGTTAGAGGTTAAGTCTAACGCTGGGAGTAATAGAGAATCATACATTTTAAGACTGTATACCTATTCCACACATCGAGCACAGGGTCAGATAACCCAAATACTAAACTTAAATAAAACTTGAATGTTCAATTAAATGGCCCTTATAATTATCTGTTACCAAAAAACTAAATGAAATACTTAAATTTAGGAAAAGGGCAGAGTGGCACTGGTCACCCAGGGAATCAATGTAGGACTGAGAAGAGAGTTGATTTTGAGGAAGAGAGCAAGAGAAATAAAACAGGAGGGAATAAGAGGAGCCAATTCCATTTTCCCCCCCATTTTTACTGTAGTAATTTTTCAAGTGCATAAACAGCACTTTGAAAAAAATGTAATTAAAACAAAATGTGGTTAAAAATTATGGAAGCAGCCCAAGTGTCCATCAATAGGTGAATGGATAAAGAAGATGTGTGTGTATGTGTATATATATATACACATACATACACAATGGAATATTAGTCATAAAAAAGAATGAAATCTTGTTTTTTGCAACAACATGGATGGATCCAGAGAGTATTATGCTAAGTGAAATAAGTCAGTCAGAGAAAGACAGATACCATATGATTTCACTCATGTGGAATCTAAGAAACAAAACAAAAACAAAGGGGGAAAAAAGGAGGCAAACCAAGAAACAGACTCTGAACTACAGAGAACACACTGATGGTCACCAGAGGGGAGGTGCGTTGGGGGAATGGGGGAAAGAGGTGATGGATATGAAGGAGGGCCCTTGTTATGATGAGCACCAGGTGATGTATGTAAGTGTTGCATCACTATATTGTGCGTCTGAAACTAATATAACATTGTATGTTAACTACACTGGAATTAAAAAAAAACCAGTGTGGTTAATGGTAGTAATAGCTTGATAAATTATAAAACATTTCCCCTAGCCTTCTCTATTTCCTGATTTTTTTTACAGAAAATTATTTCATTTTAAAACATTACATTTTGTCATGTCAGTCTAGAAAAAAAGCACTGAAATCCACATTGAGATGTAAAAACACAGTCTACTACCTATAAGGTTTTTTTCCGCCCTAAAGGAAATCAAAAGAATAGATGACAAGGAAATGCTTCTGAATGAAACACATAACTTTCATAGAAGAGACAAAAAAGATTTACTGTTAAATTGAATCCAATCTCCAAATATGATTGTGGGTCTAATATATCCCTCATGCCCAACTGCAGTCTTAAATTTTTGGTTCAACTTAATTTAAAATGAATTGCCTTCTTATCATCTTCCCGAAGAAATAAAATATATGTCAGAGGTTTCAAAGAGACATTTGCTGTATAATTAAATCACCCTCAATGACTGAATAAGGAAAAGACAGCTAATTAGCTGAAGTGTCTGCAGAAGAATGCTATGGAGACCATGTGGAAATGAGGAGTTTTGTGATGAGCCCCAATTGCTAGTACCCAGAATCCCTCCCTCCAAGAGACAGACCTATATGCAGCACTCTCTGAAAGTCTCTTCAACTACAGCTCCCTGTCTTTGGCAATTAAAAGCCTTTCTCAGCAATAATGTGAAGTTCTCGCCTATGCACATCTAAAAGACAGTTTGATTGTTACCTACCTAAACTGTCTCTAAATATAGCTGCCTGTGGAATTTATTCTACCCAACATCCTTAGCCCAAAATTTTACTGAAAAACTCCTCTACCCAAGGGAAAATATAAAGCTAATTTTAAACGTCATGTACATTGCCAAATGCATTTTAATATTTCTAAGATGAGATGACTAAATTACAAAGTTCTGAAGTCTTCATATAAAAACCATCTCTCCCTCCCACACATGCCAGTCTTCTTGACAAGCAAGTAGGAACTGTCTCCAAGATTATCAGCCTGTCATAAACTGAAGGAATATTTTTGATGGAGCAGAATCAGCTTAGGCACATTTACAGTGTTAGTAACGTTTACTGTTAGTGTAAACAGGTGTTGCACGGAGCCACTGTTGATAAATGGGCTCCCTTGATTTCATCTTCTGATATCAGGGCATCCATGAGATTTCTTACTACAGCTCAGAAGCATAAGCATAAATCATAACAGAACTAGAGAGTTGCTGCTATTTACAAATATGAAAAAGGCACTTTTTTTCTTTATTCTTCATCTGAAAACCAGGCATATTGCAGATGATTGTGGCAGGGAGAGAGGGAGAGCACGCTAGCGAGCTCAGCACTACAGAAATACTAAGTACATGCCATGTGTTCTGTGTTTACAACAGCATAAATGCATGCTTACTGTGGATTTATGTCGGGGTTAATTTTCTTCAGTTCCATGATGTCCTCTATAGTTTTCTCAATGGCGTCAGGGTGAACACTCACTGAAGTCTGCAGCAGCTGGAAGACATGGTTCAGGCAATTCCCTTGTCAAGAGCATCAGTGACTTGAGCGGGATCTATTTAGATGGGACTTCAAGTATTTGCTTAGAGCTTTTAAATGAGACTAAATTAAAACTAAGCTAAAAGCAAAAATTGGTTTCATGTTTGAATTCTAGTAAATTAGGCATTTTCACAATAGGGGGGTAGTGCAGTTTTCCTGATAAAGGTAATTAACATAAAACAAGGTTTTTTTTTTTTTTTTACCATTTTCATCTTTTTCAAGCTATTTATATTGAAATTTTATTTTTCTTATCCAATATACATGGTTTCCATTGTTAATGGGCAGTATGCCAATGACTAAGTGAAGTACATGGAGGATATAGTCTTGAGGATGCCAAAATTAAGTAATAATATTCAGGAATCTTGAAAAAAAACACCCCCCAGCTTTTCTCTCTTATGTGGACACTTAACTGCTATACAAACTAGCATAGTGGCTTCTCTGATTTTCTTGGGAAATCTTGAGTATAAAGTTAAATGATTTGGATATTTAAGAAGTGCCAGAGAGTTAACATTGCTCTTATTTTCAAGGAGTATTTATTCTATAATTTGGAAAGTATAAAAAATCAACTTCAACAATGAAGTCATAAGTGCATGATAAATCTGCCTAGAAATTCATATATAGTAGCTGCTCTCATGTCAAAAGTGGAGTGGCTTGTGATGGGCAAATAACTCTTTCTTCTCAGTTTGCACAGCCATTGGTATATTTTTGTTTCTTAAAATGTTTAGTTTTTGATAATGGAGGTAAGCCTCCAAGTGAGAAGTTGCCAGAAAATATAGAAACAATTTTACTTACCTTACTTTTTGAATCCCTCAGTGATGTTTCTGTAAAAGTGACAATTAAAAAAAGCCATTCAAAAATTTTCCTTTACAAGTGGTTTAAAATTACTGTACACAAATATAACACACTATTCCACAATCCCACCAAGCTTACATTTTGCTTACTTCTTTGTTTCATGCTTACCGATTTTCATGGTTCTAGAAGCCCCAGGCTTGGTATTGTAACAGATCCGTTGCAATTCACATCTTCCAGTCAGCTTCCTCATTACAAATTTTAGGCAGCGCCACAAAAATTTACAGTAAAAATACAGGCACACCTGGAACAACATTCTGTCAAAGACAAAAGACAGCACCCTTCCACTAGAACTCTGGAAGAGAACAGAAAGCAGCCACCACCAACAGGAAAAGCCCAGAAGAAAATCAACCATTAGACTTCTGGGTTTACAAGCATATTTTATTTTTCTAATCCCATGTTATTTTTATTTGACATATCTACAAAACCCATTATTGGGAGGGAAGCCCAGGGTCTGTGAGGATGCACTATCTATCACTGCAAGCAACTCCAGAATGCTCTATTCTAGTAAATTTGATATTCCAAAAACCGAGGGTGAGGCTCAGCCAAGAATCCTTTCTTTTCCTACCTTTGCCTAAAAACATTTTGAAAATAAATCAGTACATCAGTACCTTGAAAACAGTATCCTTGTGTTTTAGAAGTTGTCTCTCTCCCTTAGTCTTGGGGAAGAACATGCTATGGCAGCTGTCTTCTTCTGCCTCTGGAGACAGCCTCTCAGCTAGTCCTAGTCAGTTTCCAGCCCCTCCTTAGTGCCTTTTTTGGCCAGGGGGCCACTATTTTGAGTCTTCCTCTCTTTGATTCTTGCTCTCATTCTTTCCCTCCTGCTCTCTGCTTTCCTTTAGGCACTGTTGTCCCCCTACAGGACTTGCTTGTGTAGCATCTGTCTTCTCTGCTGCCCAGTCCCACCACTTCTTGGACTTGCCAGAAGGCTCCTCATCAGTTCATTGAACAAGTGGGTTGACCTTTAGTTCTCCAACATTCTCTGATTTAAACCTTCCCCACACTCTACCTCTTGACAAGTTTGTTCTTGGCTCCTGCTAACAAAGTTTTCTTTATAGCACCCTCTGTCTCACTCCAATAATTCCTCAACAAACTATGAAGTGTATAGTCGCCAATCATGTACTTACAACGTCTTTGGCACATGGGGATTTGTGTTTTATGCTGACTTTTATTTTTAATATGTGAGTGTCTTCCACTTCACAGTACTGTTTAGAGTCTCAAAATGACTCAAGCTACATAAGTAAAGAGAACTTCTCATCCAGGAACTTATTTTCAACCCATCTTCTCTTCCTACTATGCATTCCTTGGAGGCAGAATTATTTATATAACTTCCTATTGGTGTCATTTCTAAAAGATGTTTCTTTTTCACAAATGTTCACTAATTCCCTCCAACTCTAACATAAGGTGATCCAGGGTCACTCAGATTAATGAGAGTAGTTAACTAATAGCCTTAGTGATGTGATCCATCTATGAATATGAACCAACATTTTGATTGTGTTCCTTTGCGTAATTGCTCTGGCTCTAATATTGGACTGCCTGTTTTAAAAATAAAAATTCTAATAGGCTTATTTGTACAAGGGCCTGGGATCTATATCATGTAAATGCAAAGGGAACGAAGGAAACAGTAAGTAACGAAACTGCTATGCTAAGATACCACAATGGAATCCTTTGTAGGCAATAAAATTATGTTCTAGAAGATCTAGTAACACGAGAAAATGTCATAATATGCTTAACAAATAGAAAAAATTAGAAATAAACACATATGAAATGATCTACTTTTTCTTTAAAAAAAATTTAACGGTGGGGCGCCTGGGTGGTTCAGTTGGTTTAGTATCTGACTCTTGATTTCAGCTGTGGTCATGATCTCAGGGTCTTGAGAACAAGTCCTGCACCAGGCTCCACGTTGCACATGGAGCCTGCTCAAGATTCTCTCTCCCTCTCCCTCTGTCCCTCCCCATCCCTCTCTCTCTTGAAAAAAAAAAAAATTGTTATGTATGAACAAGAAGAAAAAGATGCAGGATATACAACAAAAATGTTAACAGTGGTATTTCTAGGTAAAGGAATTATGAGTACTTTTAATTTTCATTTTTGGCTAAGTATATTTTCCTTTTGTACATTTTATTTTATTTAAGAAAAAAAGGTTTTAACAATTAAAATGTATAAAATGATCACCAAAAGCCATTACAGAAATGCATATAAAATATCTATGTGAAGTCAGATTCTGCTGCAAGATAAAAAATGGATTTACTATCTCATAAAATCTGAAATTCAACTATTTTAGTCGAATACATCCTAAAAGGTATTAGGATTGAGGTTATCAGCTTCCCTCCTCCCAAAAAAGGTAACCTAAAAATAAATTTAGAGGAACATCTTTTTTTTTTTTTTAAGATTTTATTTATTTATTTGAGAGAGAGAGCATGAGCGCGCACAAGTTGGGGTTAGGGGCAGAGGGAGAAGCAGGCTCCCCCGCTGAGCAAGGAGCCCGATGCAGGACTCCATCCCAGGACCTGGGATCATGACCTAAGCTGAAGGCAGATGCTTAACCAGCTGAACCACCCAGGGGCTGCTAGAGGAACATTTTAATTCGATGAGTGAGAAATTTTATGAAACTTCAACTTTCTCTCTTGGAAAAAATTTTCTGTTTTTCCACCTAGTAGACCGCCATGCCAGAAGAAAAGACTGAGCAATATCTTTGTTAACTGGTCACCAGCCAAGTGGTAATGATATTACAGGTTGGCTTTATGCCTGTTACTAAGTTGAGGATAAAAGCTTTCCATGATCTGTCCTTATGGTGCACATGTCATTTGCCTAGCACAGGAGCCAACGCCACAAACGAAGCCTCTTCAGTTCATGTGCCAGGACTCCTAGGACAATCAGGTTCTTGTAGTACCAAATCTTCATAGACGAAAGGGTTCTGATTATTGTTTAGGGAGTATCTTTGTATTTACTCTACTTAGGGTTCAAGCCACCAGACCATTTTGTAGCTTAAATTAAACTAGAAAGTTTCCGCCATGCAACTTCTCCATCAGATCCATACAAAGATGTGGCTTGAGGCCTAGAAGTGTCTTCCTAGGGCCAGGGCGTGTCCAGGTGTACAGTGGCTTCTAGCCCATCTGTAGTTTCTCCCACTGGCCTCCTTGCACGCGAGAAGAAAATGCCTGGGGAGCTGTTTTGCATTAAGACAGCCTTACATAAAAGGAGAGAAAAGACATCATGTTCTGTTTGCTTTTCTCTTTTCTTTTTTTTCAACTCCCCTGAGGAGGTTCCTACTGTCAAAGACTGGAAAACCCAGTGGAAATGTACAGTGAGGGGTTCAAGATGCTGCATCATCCCTCTGGGCTCATCTCTCTGAGGTATACCGCATCCCTCTCAAAAAAGTCACAGAAACACTGTCACGAACTGTGCACAAGAAATGCCCATTCACTTGCAGAGTGACATTTATACACTGCTTCTTTACTCTTTTGTAATTTCTGGGCCAGTTGTCCTGATAATATTAATTATGAAGGATATTATGTTAATTTTTTTCCTAATGGGCCAAAACACCCACAAATATTTCATTAAAATGCCAGCTCACTATGCTAGGCACTGTGTTTTCTTGCTTTGCTAGGTACTTTGTATTTTTTCAAGCTAGATCATCAGGTCAGTGTTTTGACAAATATAATTTATTTTGCATTTAGATCATAAATCTAAGGCATGGTCAGAGATGGAAACACCAGTGCTGCCCTTTACTTTGGAAGCCTTGCTTTGATGACAAAAACAATATCCAACTTGCTTGGATAGGACCAGATCAGCAAAGCCTCCCTATGAGCATCTCAGGATGGCTGTTCTTCACCATTGGGTGTTGCCAGGGGCTTACTTTTAAAATTTTTGGACCTATTTAAGTCCCCATATTGTAAAGTTTATGAAAAAACTGTTGAAGGTCCAGAGGAGGATAAACATGATTAAATATTTTGGGAGAAATTTGGGACAATATTTTGGCATGTTTACCCTGAAAAGGAAGAACTTAAGAAATGGATCTTCAAATGCTCTCAAGTTGATCCACGGTTGGTTTAGGTGAAAAGGGATGGAAGGAAGGAAGGAAGTTCCTACTCTCAGAATAAGAATTATAGCCACACCCTCTCCACCATCTGCACACTATTCAGAGGTTTTATAATGCTGCTTGGTCTTTCCTCCTGGCCTAACTCACCAAAACAAGAGGCTTACTTTTAATTAGAGGAATCTTTTGCTTTTTTTCTTTAAAACACTAGACTTATTTTCTTAGTTCTGATGGAAGATTCTCAACTCACTACTGAAAAGATCTACATTTGGTAGGAACAACAATAACATTCTCAAGAGTACTAGGAGAAAATACTGATCACTGTCCTGTTTTTAATAATTGTATGCATAGACAACAGTTTTTGTGTTCGTTTCTGTTTCTTTTTTTTAATCACAGCATTTTGATGGTGTTCCAGAAGGACTTATTGTGGCTTCCTAACAACGAATGCCTTGCACAAGCACTGGGAGAAACTGATTTAATAATAAGAACTATTTATGCATGTTTTATTTCCAACATTTTCATTACAACTGTTTGTTAATACGCTGCTGAGTAAGGTTTATGGTGGAGTTCACAGCAGTGTTTTTCCACAAGGCAGTTATGAACACTTCTGTTATTTAACATCCATTCTCTGGCTTGAACCAGAATAGCCATCCGATGTAAATCATTCAAAATGGATCATATCTCTAACACCAAATAAAAGCGAACTCCTGTCTTGTGGTGCTTTGTTAGAGGAATCCACACAGCAGGGATGGGGCCCCTGAGATGGGAGAATCACCCAGAACCATGCAGCCCCCTGCCTGTGGGGGGGAGGGTGGGCACCTGTAGTGCCACACTACTCTAGCATCTTAAATTTGTGACTGACGTCTTCGTTTGGAATAGTAAGAGAAAAGTGGCTTATTTTGAACAGTTTCAATGAGTTTGCTAATGAGAGTGAATTCTTGCTTGAAGAAATCCTGTAATAAATAAGAGGTACACTACTGGTGAGGAAGGATACATACAAAATAATCACATTTCTTGGCCAAGCCACAGTTTCCTACACGAAACACTTTCCATCTAAGTGGCCATAAAGAACAACAAACTGCTCAATGTTTTCAGCATTTCATGCATTTTCTGAAATGATATTTAAAAAACTAGTTTTTCTGTTGGAGTTGCTAATTAGGGGCACTGGCAATCAACTGGAAATTAACTTGTCAGTAGGGGTTTGGCCTAGTCAATGGGCCC